TATAGATACAAATATTTAAGTAAATGCTCTGTTTATAAAAACAGTATTAACAACATTTATTGGCCTGAACGTCCGAGAAATTTCATAGAAAATATGTGTCATCCGAGAGAAATCGAACCTGTATCCTACACGGAACCGTTATATAGCCTGAAAAACGGTAATTTGACCTCGCTTCTTCTGTAACTTAATGGTAGAGCACGTTAGCTCAAATGACACTTCCGTGACGTTCGATTCCTGTCGGATGACACATATTTTCTATGAAATTTCTTGGACATTCAGGCCCGTAAATGTTGCTAATACTTTTTTATTATAAACAGAAAATTCACTTAAATATTTGTATCTATAAAATACCGTTTAAACAGAAAATATATTAAAATAATTGTCGGACTTATCCCATTTCCTAACATATATATATATATATGTATATATGTGTGTGTGTGTGTGTGTGTGTGTGTGTGTGTGTGTGTGTGTGTGTGTGTGTGTGTGTTTGTGTTTGTCTGTGTATTAGCGCTTGTGTGTTGTGCGCGCGCAATCAGGCGTTACAAAAACCTTCTAGAAATTTGTCGATGAAAAATTAAGGACTGCTTCTTACATCGCTAATGCTACTTTCTTCGAAGAAAACTGTGGAAACTATATTAGTTCCCTTTTTTTTTTTTTAGATATGTATGTATGTCGTAGATTCGCTTCGTGTCTGTTGTTTAACTTTCCCGAACTTTTCCGTAGCACCGAGTAGATAATGGATTCTGTCGTATTTTCGATTATTTAACTGCCTTTTGATTCGTTATTTTATTTTCTTCTTGTCCCTGTTTGTCATTTTTATCACTTATTCATGATATTCAATACAATCCCTTTTTCATTCATTTTTCTTTCCACGTTATCTTCAGCCGATAATCCGTCATCAATTCTCACAGGCGTTAATACATGTACGCGAGTGCACTCACTCTTTCTATCTCTCTTTCTCTCGCTTTCTTCCTCTCTATTTTCTAGGGGTTTTTTTTCTCTGTCTTTCTTTCTTTTTCTCACTCTCTGTCTTTCTCTTTCTCTCTCTCTCTTTTAAATCTCTCTTTTTCTTTCTTTCTTTCTTTCTTTCTTTCTTTCTTTCTTTCTTTCCCTGACTTTCTTTTTCTCACTTTCTATTTCGCTTTCTCTATCTTTCTCTCACTTTCGCTCCTCCTCAATCCCTCTTTCTCTTACCCTCTCTTTTCTTGTCTCTCACTCTTTTTCTCCTTCATTTTATTTTTCTCACTCTCTTTCTCTTTTACTTATTCTCACTTTTCTATCGTTATCTCACTCGCTTTCTTACTCTCTCTTTTTCTGCCTCTATCTCTCTTTCACTCACTCCAATTTTTCTCATTTACTCTCTCTCTCTCTCTTTCCCCCACTACATCTTCTGTCTCTTTCTTTTACTGACTCTTTTTCTTTCAGTCTCTTTATATGTTTTTCTTTTTCTCACTCACGCTTCCACTTTGTCACTTTCTTCTATTTAACTCTATCTTCTCTCTATCTTTTAGTTTCTTTCGTTCACACTTTCTTCTTCTATCATTTTTCTCACTCCCTGTCTTTCTATTTCTTTTTCTCTCTCCCTCTTTCTCTCCCTCTTACAATCTCTCTCTCTTTCTCTCTCTCGGTATCTCTCTTACTCATTCACTCTTTTTCTTATTTTCCTTCAGAGACACAACGACATTCTACTTAACGATACCATATGTGGAGTAACCAGATATTAATAAAAACAAAAAGAAAGAAAGAAAAAAAGAACTTCAGGCCAAAGAGAGACCATTAATATTGTATATCTCAATGATAATGTCATGTGCTATGTTTTTTACAAGGTGTTATATCACCCTGAATGTCATTTACGCTCTTAATTAGCATGCAATTCGGTGACAGTTCCACGGTTTCTCAAATGACGAATGACTGAGATAAGAACGAAAAGAAATAGCGGGAGGGGGTGTCAAACTTAACCTGTTTCTCTTTCGTAAAAGCGAACGAAATATTGCATACAAATAAAACATAATGCAAAAAATGAAATAAGAAGCTCGCCAGCTCTAGTTAAAATGCTACTTACGTATACTTACTAAATCTAATCCAAGACTACCAAAATGGATCACTTAATAATGTTACTTATTAAGTCTAGCTTAATTGGATCCAAGTAGAGTTACCCAGTTAGGCTTTCACTCATTAGAGATAAAATACAATATCGCTGTCATATCTGGGTTGGAGCTACACAATCCTTACCTTCCAGCCTTGATAGTCCAAAGTCGTTTACGCAGCCTTGTAGAAGTTAACATATTTTACTCCCTGTCGCCCTTTTCCCACTCTATCGCTATTTCCATGGCAGATTTTCAGACGTGCTCCATTCTATAGTTCAACCAATGAAGGTCTTCAGAGCTAAGGCCCGCCATACTGCGTTCACAGCGTCGAACAACCCGCACTCCCGCCGTATTCCAACAGTAAGGAAGAAGTATCATGGAGAAAGTTTTTCCCAAGAACCGCTGTTTTGTGGAACAGACTCCTGCGATGGTACTTTCGCCGAATACTACAATCACAGTCTCTTCAAGTCAAGAGTCAATCATTACGTATCTTCCATATCCACATAATTCTCACTGACTACTCTTACATTCATTTCATACACTTCATTCTACCTTGAGTGGCTCTTGAGATTTATATTGGGTAAACACTAATAAATAAGAAAATAATGACTGTGCTTTGGGAGATTTATTTTTATTTTTTTTTTTACGGTGAGGTTCACCTTGTACAAGGCTCGGGTGCCACTCGAGGTAGATAGTTACAAAAAGACACGGTTTAGGCGGATATGTGGAAAAGATAACGTTTAACCCTAGACTTGAACAGGTTAAAATAGTAATGATCGGGAAAACACCCTCTTGGGAGTTGGATCCACAGAGCCGTGGTTCGCGGGAAGAAACCGCTCGAGTAGAACTTACTTATCACCCATGGAATACGAAAGGAATGAGGGTGGTTCGCTATGATGGGCGTGGCATGGCGAGTCTTAGCCGTAACGGTTAGAATTGGTTGATCTAAGGAATGTTTATTCTGCGTGTTGTTGTAATGTCTGAAGATAATATTTATTTTAAATGAAGAGTAAGGTTTATTATTTGGAGAGAAGTTAATCTTGCTACAGTTGCCATTTGCTTAAATTAATCTGATATAAGATTGCAACAATAGAGCACTCGGTGAGGAATGAACTCATTGCAATAATTGATATTAGAATTACAGCATACAAGTCGAGTTTTCAAGCCTAAATACATCTTTGTAAGACTAGGGGTCGACTTATATAGTGGGTATAATTACAAGCCTTTACCACCGGGTTGTAAACAAGTGGGACGGCACTTTTAATTGACGGCGTACAAATCGAGTTTTCAAGCCTAAAAAAATCTTTCCAAAAATAGGCGTTGATTTTTTGGGCGTGTAATAAATGCAAACCTTTACCACCGAGTTGTAAACAAGTGGAACAACGCGCCTAAAATCACTGTACACTACAATAACGTATGATACATAGCAGTACTATCAAAAAAACTACCTGATATGATGTGCAATATACGGTAATATTTTAATATTTTACAGAAGTTGATGTTGACTTTAACATGTTTATCAGTAGACCTAACGGATTTCAAATGTTCGCTAATTTATACCGATGCAATATATTGTAACTACCGGTGTATGTTATAGGTTGTTTCCTATACAACGCATAGTGAAAGATATTACGTTTAGTGTCTTCAATATACAGGTAAATGGTTTGAATTAATGTACTTTTGGCACAGGTTATCGTATACTGTAGCCTAACTTCATATACAGGTAGGCCTAAGATTTGGGCTACTGGTAGTCTACCATATGTATGGAGGGTCGACCTATACGGTAGGTATTAGTCTCAGAATTTTGAGCTAAAAATCTTGATGTCGACTTCTACACCAGGTCGATTTGTACACCGCAATTTACGGTTCTTTAGTCAACTACAGCGCGTCGGAATATTTTTCAAGGTCCTCATACTCTTCGGTATTTCAAAATATTTTGCTTATCCCTTGACCTCAAGGCCAAATTTAAAAGAAAAAAAAATGAGTAAAGATAAGTGTATCATAAATATGTGTCGTGGAAATTTGAAAGTATTAACCTTTATCACTCTGTATTTGACTTCATTTGCTGAACAAAATGTTTATGCTGACGGTGACACTGATCCCTGGACAATAGTCTTTGAATTTTATGGTTGTGTTGTCATATCCTGCTATGGCAACAGAAAACAACTTTGCGTGAAATCAACAATAAGGATACTGCAATTGAGAAGCTTTGAAAAAAAATTCAGTGGAATGGAAAGTAATACAAAAATATGTAAGGAAGAATTATTTAAAGGACTTTTGTTTGTAAATATACAAATGTTTGGATCCGTGCTGTTCAAAAGTTGTGGATTTTTTTTTTTAACATCGAAATCCACTTTTGATTATAATTCATTGATTCTGTTTTACAGTTTATCACCCCTTAGCAGGTTATTTAAAGCCAGAAAATATTTTTAGATTGTAAGAATTTTTTTTGTGTGTGGTGGGGGAGAATAATGGTTTAGTGATACAAGTCTTACTAATTAACCCTAGAACACTAACCACGGGTATATAGTACCCAGCGCAAATTTTTAATTACAATTTTCAGTACCTGATTTTCTTATCTAAATAATATGTTTTTCTGTTCCTATTAATGTTAACTCAACGTACAAAGTTTGAAGTGCCTACATGTAAAATATTTCAAATAATGATTTATATTTAATAATTTCTTGATATTTTCAAAATCGGGTATGATATACCCATGGTTAGTAGTAGTGTAACTTTAATTGATGGGTAGTGTTCTAGGGTTAATCTATATCAAGAGGGGTGGGTGGGAGAGATGAATTCATACCTTTCCCAGGCATATTTGAAAATAAGGAGCACAACGTGAATTAGAACTCGACTCACGGATTAACAACTCCGAGTCATTATCCATTACACCACCCGCACATCCACTGTTACAGCACTTGGTATTCCCAAGCGGTCACCCATCTAAGTACTCGCTAGGCTCGACGTTGCTTAACTTCGTTGATATGGCCGTATCAGAAAAAAAAACAATTTTAGGTAAAATATTTTTCTAATAACTCCAGCTCATTATTTCCAGTTTTATTACGTATATATAAAACCTGGTGTAACACAATCTTCCAAACTTATTCCTATTAATACATCACGTGTTGTACTAAACTAAGTCGAGATAATTTGCTCTGACTAAATAATAAGCGAAAGATATCCGGAATTTTTTTACTACTCCGTTGTGAATTCCGAGCCATTATATATTGCAGCACCCTCACATCCAAGTTTACAGCACCTGGTATTCCGAAGCGGTCACCCATAAAGTTACAGACCAGACCCGACATTGCTTAACTTTGGTGATCGTACGGGAACCAATGTTTCATCGTGAGGTGGCCGTAAGCATCATTTTTGATACACGATTATTTCTATGACAATATTTCTTATCTAAAAAGTAATAAAAAGGAAAAAATGTTTCGTCCACGTACCCGCCAAAATTAACAATCTCCCGTCGACATGTTATCTCATTTTTATATATTTATATATTTTATATATCTTTTATTTTGTTTTATATATTTATATATTTTATATAGCTTTTATTTTATTTTATATATTTATATATTTTATAAATTTATATGCAAAATTTATATTTAAACAAATTTTGTTGAATAGAAACGAATGTCTGTTTTTTTTTTTTTACTGTTTCTTACTGTATTTTCCGCTTGTCAAATAAAATTTATATAATGGGATCAAAATTACAGCTATACTGTCCAGAGTTCATGTCTTTTTCTGGTTTCGTTCAAGTATTCTTGACGACCTCAGACATTAGCAAGATCTGGGGATATGCGGGTGGTGTCATGGATAACGGCTCGGAATGAGAGATCGGAGAACTGGGTTCGAATTCTAATCGCGTTCGTTACATTCAGTTATGCGCAAATACCGTTGGAAAATATATAAATGCATCTCTCCTTTTAGTTATGGGTTAAATATTAGCACTTGTATTGGAATTCTAAAAAAAAAAAATTAACATAATATTCACTCGCAAGAAAAAAATATTCATATAATCCAAAATATGCTTCGGTTTTAAATAACCCACAAAGTGGTGATAAACCGTAAAAAATCAAATCAACCAATCAATCCCAATTGTCTTATATGTATATTATATAGAAGATATACTTAAAAATGTTTTCCGTTAATGTTTAACCAAAGTATTCTTAACCCGCAAATACAAGAATGTTATTCTTGGAATGATAACCTTAATCAAAATAAAAAAAAAAATGTGACAAGCAAATTGGGAGATTTTTCAAAAACTGTTGAATTTAAAATTAATGATTTATTCAAAAAATCTTTGCAGGGATGGTGTCTTGTTGAGAATTGTTCTCACGAGTCAGAAATTGCTATTTAGTTTTCAGACAAAGATAAAATAGCGATTGCTTCAAGAACTCGCGTCGCATACAGAACTGAATGCGCGAAGTGCAACGTTATTTATATTGGTGCGACGTCTCGTCATTTCCACGAACGTCCTGGAAGATTTAGATATGGATAAAAACATCTCCAGTTTTCAAACATTTATCAAATGACGATCAGGGTAAACAAAAATGTAATCATCAATCATCGACAGGGAGGATATACGATACAAACTTGTTATTCAAGATGGATTTTGGATTGCTAAAAGAGGGCCTTTCATATGGTCTCCGAGTTACACGAACAAAACAATATAGTAGTTCCAGAGATATGAACTCAGTATGGTAATATGTAATTGCGAAGAGTATAGAATAACCGCGTGAAGCCCAGTGAGAATCGAAATCATTATATTAGTTTGCAAGACTAACTAAACATTCCTTCACGACAAACCACTAATGTATTTACTAAACTTAGTTCAGCCAGGAAGTACTGGTCACTCAGTGTGGATCAGAATCACTACCTTAACGAAGGATCTGTGATTTTAATGCAATCTTCACAAAGATTCTGCGAGAGTTGTCCCCAAAATGCTACGCGTATCCACAATCAACTAACAAAATTGCTTCTTTTTTTTACGGTGGAGTAATGGATTGCAGCTCGGATTGAGGAATCGGGGAGCCGAGTTCGAATTCCAGTCGAATCCATTACATTTACTTATACTTGAGAAATGTATAAATCCGCTTCTTTAAAGCTATCGGTAAATAGCAGGACAGACCGGGTTCTATAGTCTTGGATGGCAACTGGTCTACTGCAGGAAGAAATGGCAACCTGCTGTGGGAAAAAATCTGCCTCGTCAGTCATGTATCGAAAGATACACGATCGCCTAATTGTGTATTACGCTTGGCACATAATTGACTGAATCCCCTTTAGGGTATGTTTGGTTAATCTGCAATATCATGATAGATAGATAGATAGATAGATAGATAGATAGATAGATGTATACTCGCTTCTTGCTGAGGTAGCTGGCAACGGTCTTGATCCATTCATATGTTGCTTCTTATCTCTCTTTTCCTCTGTCCGAGTAGCGAAATTTTTTGGTTCGGAGATAAAATAAAACTTCAATGAAAGGGATTTTTAAATTTATCTACTTTATTAAACCCGTCGACGCGTACATTTTTAACTAGCTAGTGGGGTCGCTCTATCACCCTCACTGGGGAGCAAGTTCCCCGAGACACGAAATAACCACGCCTGATCTCTTCGACGCATAAAAACTTACTCCCCTAACCTTTCCACGCTAGTTTTAACCAATCAAAAACGGCTTCCTTTGTTTTGTCTACCATCTGAGCTTAAGATCAAAATGAGGAAGTCAGAGGAAAATACAATTCTTTTAAAAAATAATAGTCTGCTAGACTATTATTTAACATAGATAGATAGATAGATAGTTAGATAGATAGATAGATAGATAGATAGATAGATAGATAGATAGATATGAATAGAATGAGATAGAGAGCTATGAACAAAATGAGATAGATAGATAGATAGATAGATAGATAGATAGATAGATAATGAACAGACTGTGAAAGAAAGAAAGAAAGAAAGACTGTGGAGACAGAAAACTGAAACTGTCTGTTACCATTCAGTGTCAATTTATATATGGCCACACTGCATACGCTCTATCACTGATAGTGTGCACTCTTACCTCATATATATAACAAAACTGGAACAATGTAATTGTGTGTGTGTGTGTGTGGGTGTGTGTGTGTGTGTGTGTGTGTGTGTGTGTGTGTAAATCAATGTGGGCTATTTCAAACAGAAAAATATGGCATAAGGTTACAAAGAGCAACAGATTTAGAAAATACAACAGCCAAAACCCTGCGTTGAAAGCAGAAAAGAAGGAAAATAGTGTCTGAATGAATCAATGTATAATAGTAACTGATAGATACTAAATAATGGGATCATTTTTTAGGTGCTGCCCAGTAAACGGTTCCTCGGTGCCAAAATTAATTGATTTGTCACTCACGCGAGGTTAGATGTCCAGGTGTTCTTGCAGGTCCTTTTACGGGTTAATGTTTGAGGGTGAAATTGGATTATGGGGCGTGAATTTTATACAGAACCATGTCCACTTTCTCAAATTCCCGGCTAAATGTCTGACAGGCCTTTTAAGATTATTATCTAGAAGAGAGATAGATTTTTAGTTTTCTTTCGACGCCTTGGAAACGGAAATCAGAATCTTTGGGTGTGGCCTCATGGGATTATGGATATTAAAGAGCAAACAGAGTTAGGTGTCCATGGTATAAGATCGTTATTGGAATCGCTTGTTTCTTAGTTGTTGTTGTTGTTTTTGTTTTTTTTGGTGGGAGTCATTTCACACTAAGCAAAATGAATACACACACACACACACACACACACATACATATATATATATATATATATATATATATATATTGGATACTTAATTCATAAATGTGTTCTTTTTTTTCAAATCATTTCATACCTAATCAAGGCAATAAAACTACTAAGACGCGTGGGTGTACTGGGCGTGAAAGCATCTTAGAAAACATTAGTGAATAGTGAGTGTAGTGGTAAAAGCTGGTTACCCTCCTTACTATTATGAATGGACTGATCCATTCATGATAAGTAGTCCTGGGTAATTACCTAAAGAAAATAATACTATTACATTGACTTGTCTGAGTACTGAATACTATTATCTCGACTGAGTGTTGTATTTGCCAGATCCCACATTACAACAGAGAGGACAATAAACAATAAGAATTAAGGAAACAAAAGGTGACGATTGATCGTAATTGACATGAAAGAAAAAAGACGTAAGACATTTCCACAGGCGAGAAGTGCAAGAGAAGAAACTATTAGCATAGAACTTACGGCACATCTAGCAATTTCAACTTCAAAATGACGAGACCTAACCGCCAATCTAGTATTGCGCTTAAATTCTTGAAGACGATGTACGAAAGAGGAAAGAAAGAATTGCTATGAAAATATTTATAGAAAATGCGCGGGGAAACTACGTTACGGCTGGGTGGGGGGGACTGGTTGAAATTGAGATGCCAAGTCAGAACCGATAACATTGCAGATTTTTCTTTGGATTTTTAATATTTATTTGTTTACTCAATTGTATACCTGCTATGTCGATGTCACAGCAGCATATGACAGCATCAATAGGTATTTCTTCTCATCAATTAGTCACTGTCTTCCAAGCTTTGACTCAGATGAATGACTAGATTAAATAGAATAACTATAGAGGTTCACAAAATGGTACATGTCTGATGAGGACCAGAATGCCGAAACATCTTAAAACTCATCAAGAGTACAACAAGGAGGAGATGAGGGCCTCAATCTAATTGATCTTCTTCTAGCCTATGCCCTGCACATATACAAGCACAGATGTGAAGAGATGGACACTAAAGGTTTAAGCATCCCATACCACATTTCAAACGAATCTACTCATAAAAAACAGCGATTTTAATTTACCTCTCAAGATCAATGTAGGGGTGATTTGAGGCGGGGGGGGAGGTTATGCTGATGGCATAGGTATTCATAGTTGGAATAAGAATGATCTTAAACAAAAAATCATCCTCTACCAAGTGTTGCAAGAAAAAGGACTCGAGATAAAGATTTCCAAAACAGAAACTATGATCTGGAATTGGAATGAAAACAATGATGACAACTGCACTGAATCCATCATAAAAATTCGGGATGTTGAATTAGATAGATAGATAGATAGATAGATAGATAGATAGATAGATAGATAGATAGATATGTACAGAATGAGATCTATAGATAGATAGGAAATGGCCGAGATAGATAGATAGATAGATAGATAGATAGATAGATAGATAGATAGATAGATAGATAGATAGGAAAAGGCCGAAATAGATAGATATATAGATATGTACAGAATGAGATAGATAGATAGATAGATAGATAGATAGATAGATAGGAAAAGGCCGAGATAGATAGATATATAGATATGTACAGAATGAGATAGATAGATAGATAGATAGATAGATAGATAGATAGATAGATAGATAGATAGATAGATAGGAAAAGGCCGAGATGGATAGATATATAGATATGTACAGAATGAGATCGATAGATAGATAAATAGATAGATAAGAAAAGGCCGAGATAGATAGATAGATAGATAGATAGAAACAAAGAAAAAATGTAGATAGATTGATGGACTGATCATCACGTGTTAATTATTGTGAAGTGTTCTTCCATACAAATATATATTTTTTGGAGTGTTTAATGCATCTTGTGTGATACCAAATACTTCTTGTTCCGCATACTTGTAAAATCTCTAACTCATGAATGACATGGATGTTTAAAATAATACTGATAAATGGGAGATTATCCGTTCTACATCGCGCGAAATTGTTGGAATTGACGGATATTCCCAACTTTAAAAGTGCCGTGTATTTTTCTCCTATTTTCATTTTCTACGATTCCCAGTTCCCACTTGGCGTTAGGTGTCGAACATCGCCGATCCGATACACTTAGAAAGAAAAAAAAAGGGGAAACAAGCAGAAGAAAAGTTTGAACAAAATTATACATAGCAAAAATTTAAATGAAAAATAAAAACACGGTGAATAAAGAGGTTGACGTGAAATTGGGAATAGAGAGTTAGAGAATTAAAGCAAAAAAGAAAAAAAGAAAAAAAGGGAGGTAACCACGACGAACAGAACTCGTTTGCAACGCGAATTCATGAGAGGAGACTTGGATTCGTAACAAGATGGAGGCCAGATAGCTTCACTATCATTTGTAAGATTTGGCGCCGATAGCCACGTCTACACCGACGCCATGTTTTTTTTTTTTTTTTTTTTTTATTTTGTTTTGTTTTAATCTTGTTCTACGTATTTTTATATTTGCTTGTATCGGTTCTGTTTTAACGCTTTTGTTCTTTCTCTTGTCTTTTCGCTTTTGTTGATTAGATCTGTTTTCTTCTGCACGAATCTATTTTTATTTACGTTTGTGGAGGAAAAAATTAATATATTTCCTAATTTTTGTTCCTACGAAATCATCAATTTCCAATCTTTCTTTAATTATATTTTCCTGTATATCTTTTAAATTCAACATATTTTTTAAATAAAATCTAGGAAGATGTGTCTTTCTTTTTTTATAGCTTTCTATCCTTCCATACATGTCACTTATTTTAAACTACAAACTAGATTATAAATACTCTTTCTTTCTTTATTTATTTATTCATTTATTTATTTATTTATTTATTCTGCTACATCCTAGCTTACATTTGCTCTCTCAATTTGTTTTTTATTTTTTCTTCTATTTTTTTTATTTTCTCTCTTTTTCTTTCCAACTTTTCACTTTTCTTTCTTTCTTACTTTTTCTACTTCACTCTACATTTTTTTCTTTAATTTCTGTTTCCAAAAGACTTGTGGTGTCCATTTTTCTTTTTGTTTTTTATTTTCTCTCTTTTCATTCCTTGTTTTCCCTTTTCTTTTCTTCTGTCTTCTTTCAGACGCCACTTCCTACGTTAGTTTAATTGTTCTGACTTATTTTCTTTTCGATATATATTTTTTTTTGTATCGTTCTTCTTTCTTCTTTCCATTCTGTGGTTTAATTATTCTTTCCATTATATTTGTTCATTTTTTGGATTTATTCTGCCCTGTTTTTATTATTATTATTATTATTATTATTATTTACCTTCAGCTTGTTCTCATCCCACTTTTAATTACTTTCCTTCATTGTCTGCTTTGTTCTTTTGTTTTTATTCATTTGTTTTTCAGTCTACTATTACCTAACAGATTCGTTCTTTTTTCTTTGTTTTTGCTTCTTTCTTTCTTTTTCAATTGGCAGTTACCTTGTCTTCCTTTGGCTTCTTTCTTTCCTTCTCTCCTCAATTGAGAGATTCGTTTTTCTGTCTTCCTTTGTTCCTTTCTTTCTTTTTTCATTTATCTATTTATTCATTCATTCAACACTACTTTAGTTGCAATTGATAGTTACGTTTTTTCTTTCTTTCTTTCTTTTTACTTTTTTCATTCGACAATTACACTGGTCTTTATTTTGCTTCTTTTTTTCCTTCTCTCCTCAATTGATAGATTCTTTTTTTCTGTCTTCCTTTATTTTTGCTTCTTTCTTTCTTTTTTCATTTATTTATTCATTCATTCGTTCAACACTACCTTAGTCTTTATTTTGCTTCTATTCCTCTTCTCTGTAATTGATAGATTCGTTCTTTCTTTCTTTCCTTCCTTCTTTCTTTCTTTCTTTCTTTCTTTCTTTCTTTCTTTCTTTCTTTCTTTTAATCAAATCGTATTTTCTTTCTTCTTTTATTCACCATTTCTTTCGTTTTGTTCAATCTGTATCCTTTCTTCATTTTATTTCTTCTATTCCCTTTCTCTTCATTATATTCAGTCCTTTTTCTTTTCTTTTTTTTTTCATATCTTTCTCTTTCGCTTTCTTTAGTACGTCCCCACTGCCACACGCCTTAATATCCTTCCTGTCTTTTTTTTCATATTCGTTCCTCTTATGTTCCTTTTTCGTACATTCCATTTTTTTACTAGCCCTTCAATTGTATCATCTCACTTTTTTAGAGAAAAAATATTTTCAAAAGCATATTTTTTTCTCTCAATTTTCGCGAAAATCTGAGATTAGAATAGAACCCGTGAATTTTTTGTTTTTATTTCGTTTTTTAAGTATGAAATATTTTTCACTTTCAAAAAAAGGAGTGCGTAAAAATAAAAGAAGTATCACTAAAAATGATAATAATAATGATAAAGTTAAAAAAATAAAACAAAACATTGTGTGAATGACTGGAAACTCTAAACCAGTTTTCCTATTACACATGATATTAGGGGATTTTTCAAAAGACATTTTAATCATTATTGCTGTGAGCAATAATTTTTCCTTTCCTTTTCTTTTCCTTTCAGTCCTTGTTTCGTTTTTCGTTTCCCCGTTTCGAGTTTTTTCCCTTTCTTATTTTCTTTTTTCGCATTCCGCTTTTTTAATTATTTTTAAGATCTCAATTTTTCATATCCATTTTTTTTTTTCAATTTTCTTTCTTTATTTCTTGTTTTCGTTTCTTTTATTTGCTTCTCGGTGTCAATGTCAGCAATACAACTTCTTCATTGTCTTCGATAACGGCACACACACACGCACACATACTCACAAACACGCGCGTGCGCGCGTATACACACACACAAAAGACAAACAGTACGAAAACAAAAATAAATAATTATAGAAGATTTTGAAAATTTTCAAGGCTTTCATTTTTTTTTTCCTTTGACGGAAAATAGATTGGATTTATTCCTGCATTTTCCCCTTCCCCGATTCAGGCGTATGTTTACTTGCTTTAGATTTTAAAACATATTGACAAGGGTGGAATAAGAAACAAGAAAGACATAAACTGTAATTATGTCATTTGGGTAAGTACTAATGCAATATATATATATATATATATATATATATATATATATATATATATATATATATACATATGGCGAGGTAAAGAGAAAGAAAACAAAGATTGTGTTTCGTCAAAAACAAAGACTGTCGACCAGTTTCTTTTCGAAAGACGTAACGTTGCAAGCCTGTCGCTGCTTCCATCGCAAATGTCCCAAACTGCATTTGTCTTGTGCCACCAACACAGATCTTTACAGTCAAAACCCACCTTGCCACGTCCACGGGGTTGAATCATCATCATCCTCTACTTATTCCTTCGTTAAGATAGGCGTTCCACTTCTTATCAAGCATCGCTATTTTGTGGAACAGACTCCTACGTAAAAATCTCCTGAGCCGACTAAGCATAGAAATGAATACACTATGGGAAACAGTAATAAGGAGTGCCAGAGAAAAGCGATAACAACAACAAAAGTTGCAATATGAGCTCTGGTAAAAACATGTAATGATAACAGCAAAAAATTGCAATGCAAGCACTGGTGAAAATGGTTGTTGAATTCAGTAGGTTAATAATACCCAGAAATTCAAACACAGATGTCTTCAAGGACACATGGCTCAGTGGAAAAAGGCGTTAGTTAGATCCAGTGACAGGACCCAAAGAGTCTGAGTTCAATACCTGGTTAAAAACTTGGAGAGGGGAATTAACAGGAGATAACTGACATCCATTAGACATGGCACGGGAACTAGAACAGTCTACCCCAGTGAGCGAAATAAAGGGTTCAGTTCGACATTCCAAACAACTGAAGAAACCCGGAGCGTACAACGACCGAAACGTTGTGATAAATATGACAACAAGTTGAGGACAATAGACGGAATAATGTAAATAGTGCACATAATACCTCATCGCAGAAATATAGACAGTTTAGTTTTAGTTTAAATTTATTATTTTATTTATCTATTACTTACATAGATAGATAGATAGATAGATAGATAGATACTGTCTTGGTAAGCTATTACTATACGGCACCACGTGTCACAGAACAAGCGGAATTCTAACAGGCTTATGTAATGTAAACAAAAAAGTGTGAATGGCGGCTTAGAAAATTGCTAATAAAAAAATGGAGATAACTTTAAAAATTCAATTCTTAAAACGTAAATTAACAACGTACAATGACATAGAATTTACCAGGCGTTATTTCATTTCAATTCATTTTATAGGCATGTTTTCAGCACTAAAATACATACTTACACCCTTTTTTTTACCAATCTTTGAATTATAAATGGCTGTGAGTTATCTTGCTTTTATGATTTTCAATGGCGCATGCGACTCGTTTTGCAAATGAATACTGTTAAATATATATATATTTAAATATTTAAATATATATATATATATATATATATATATATATATATATATATATATATATATATATATAGTTACTGTATTAGATTTTATTATACAAGTCAAGTTTTCACAATAACATTGGTATGTGGGCAAATTTTTCAGAACAATTTGTTTAACCTATATATACCGTATTCGACGGCATGTAAGACGCACGGAAAATCAAGCAAAAATTAATAATTAATAAAATTGGTAACATCATTAGTGAGGCTATATTTATAAGGTATTATTTTGGTTAAACGAGCCATGATTACAATTAAACGAAAAATAGTAGAACACTGGCTTATAAAAACATTATAATATCCAAAGGTAAGAAAACAAAATAAAAATCAAGTAATTATTACAACTGAGCAAAACAGTACAGTTACCATTAAAATTTTATTCATCTTCATATCTATAAAATTCGTCGTCTTCGTTATCAAAACTCTGATAATCATTTTCAAAACTACAATCATCGTCGTTAAATAATGCGTCATCTTCCGTTGTATTAAGAGCATTGCTAATGCCACACTTTTTAAAAGATTTCACAACAATTTCTTGTCTGATATTCAAAGCTTCACCCATTCAATTCACCCAAGCTTGCTTCACCAATTCGCAGACTTGTGTAATGCTGGGTCTTTTTATTCTTCCTGTAAGTGTAAGGTCGTGATCAGGCATTGCAATTCACGTGTTCCATTGATCCTTCATCTTTAAGTCTAAGCTAATAGGAGTTGCCAGGTAGCCAATTTCGGCCGACTATCGTGAATTTTAAACCTACATATGGCATAGAAGACGCAGGGAAATTTTAAAAGATATTTTAGTAAAAATAAGTGCGCTTTATATTCCGTCAAATAAGGTAAGTGTATTTCAGCTTATTGTAATTATCATTATTTAAAAATATGTAATAACAAAAAAAGGGCAGCAAAAAAACAAAAAAATTTTTTATTTAATTGTCTATATTTTTCCAAATGATTTATGTTGAGGGGCCTCCCCTTTTTACACAAATGAACTCACCCAGTATATACATATACTACTGCTATGTGAAGACCCTAAAGCAAGACCAGACGAGAGCAACAGAGGGTGAAGGTAACAGACAGAACGAACGTAGCCCGCAAGAGTCACTGTGAGCGAGGACGTAGACTCAGTAAGAAGTCATATAGCGATATTTCAATACCAAAGACTGTATAGATATTTTGCTACTAACCCGTATTCCTAGAACTACTAACTTGCTTTACCAGTTTGTATTATTACGTTAATACATTTATTTTCCTATATTCATTTTTGGCGTTTGTTATTTATTGGTAGCGGATTTCATCCCGGAATCCACAACAATTCAGGACAATTTTTTACCGCTGAATCCGAAAATGACATCCGTTTCTCTCAATCAAGTCATGTTTTGGCGCTATGTTGAATTTTTTAGAATCCGATCTTATGACATTATTGTAACAATTGAATTTTGTTAATATTTCTCAAAGAAAATAAGTTTTTAAGAGAAAGGATTGTTTTCTAATACAATTTATTAATTAAATGTGACAAACATCGATTACAATAAATTGAATATTATAAATTGATAAATGTAAGTACATCTAAATTGCATGTTACGTCAACATTGTTCAAAATTCAGGGCTTGAAATTCCATTTATTCAAACCCTTAGAATGATCAGCGACAGAGGTGTCTCTCTTCAAAATCCACCAGTAATCAGCCATCATGACTGCATCCCAGCGTTCCTGATACCGGATCTCTATCTCTTTCATGTCCTGGTGGAATTTCTCCCCACTCCCTGTTGTCCTCATTGATCCGAAATTCTCAGGAAACCGATCCATATGTGATAGTAAATAATGCATTTTGCTGCTCATGTTGCATCTGAGGTTTCTGAAAGCAGTCAGCATATTGATGACAAGTTCTGTGGAGTTTCTGGCCTTGTTGTTTCCAAGAAAGTTCTACACGACCAGAACAAAAGCTTTTCATGCTTCCAGTTCCACTTGGTACAGTGATTTTTCAAACTCTGGATCTCTGATGAGCTGACGGATTTGAAGACCATCAATGATGGCAGCTTTCAACTTCTCCATCGTCAATCCTAGAAAAGCACGAGTAAATGAAGCAGACACTATTAACATAATTAGTTTTATTGTGTGAAATATGTTGCATATTTAGATATTTTATTGGACATGACAACAGAAACACAAACTTAAAAACAGCATGTAGCCATAGCGTAAAAAGTTGACCTGATTGAGCAAAACCAATTTAATTTCAAGGTCAGCACATAAAACTTGTCCTAAATCAGCTAAAAATGTTTAGACAATAAATCACATGTTGACCAGTGTACTTTTTTTATGGCTGTAGCAATAAGTGATAAAAGTTATCTCCCCTGAGAAGAACTAAAAAAAAAAAAGCTATAAAAGTTACATCATATTTCCAGTCCAGTCTTGAAATGAGTTTAGGTCTAAAAATGACTTCCAAAGTTTATTTGCGCGTTCAGTCATCATTACAGTGGTGTCGGATTTTATGATGCAAAGTGAAATATAAATTTGGGTTATAGAATAAATTACAAACATACAGGCCATAGAAACATTGTACTTAATTAACATAGCATAACATATACCTGAATAAATTATTATACAGGTTAATATGAGATCCCTGAAATTCTGTAATCTTCCCTATCTTTCAACCATTAATTTTCTTAATATTGGTTCGACTTCAAAATTACATTCAGCAGATCTGGAGAGTCGGACGTCTGAATAAATCAACACATATGCTAGGCTATGAGCACCTCTTTAGTAGGCCTAGCATAGAAATAAATACGTTATGCAAGCTGTTAATAAGAAAGAGATATGACAGCAATACTTCAACGGTAGCAACAGCTGCAGTAGAAAAGAGAAGCGTCGATGAGTGCAGTCAAGATGGTTAAGCAACATCAATAGCACCCATTAGCAGGTAGATCATTTTTATGGTTCACAGTTCTACACTCAGGATTGTCCCACGAGTCGAGCCGATAGTAGTTCACTCCCAACCAGACTGATAGTCATGCTGACACCTTCCACATCTTGTATTATTATTTCGTGTAATATACCTTCGTTATTTCTACTCTTGTGTTCGTCCTGACCTGCACCGTAACAAATAATAATAAAGAAAACCTTAAATATTCATTTCGATTATAATTTATTTCGTGAATACCGAAATATTTATCTCTTCGGACCGAAATTTCTAGGTTAATGGAGACAATATACCTGACGGATATATAAAATTGATAATGGGGGGGAAGGAAAGCAAGAGAGAAGATATGAGAGGAGGAGAGGAAGGATCTTTTAAAGAGATGAGATGGAGGGAGTTAAGGAAAAGAAAGGGTTAAGGAAGTAACGAACGGGTTGTAGTAAGCCTTAACGACCAATAATTTCCTTAACTTGGAAACTTGGAACTTTGTACATTGGTTTATACAGCAAACTAACCGATATGACCCATTCTTTTAGGCATCATCAACCAACACAATTCCAAAGTAGTGAGTAAACTGAGGGGACAGTGTTAACTACAGGGGACAGTGTTAACTGAGGGGACAGTGTTAACTAATAGGGACAGTGAAAATTACAGGGGACAGTGTTAACTAGAGGGGACAATAAGTGAAACAGGTTGATACGATCAAATGACAAGATAGTAATATATGTATATGTATATATAGTAATATATGTATCTAAAAGTTACGTCCCTTGTCTCTATAATTCAAATCTTCTTTTCATCTCTACCTCCTTCTCTCCTTCTCTCTTCTCACTCACACTTTCTTTCTCTCTTTTGCCTCTCTCTCTCATTCTCTCTCACGCCCCCCTTTGTTTCTTAGTGAATTTTTTCGCTTTTCGCTCTCATTGACTATTTACTTCATTCTCTCTCTCCTCTCTCTCTCTCTCTCTCTCTCTCTCTCTCTGACTCTATTTTTCATTCTTACTCTCTTCCTGTCATTTTTTCTTTCTTTCTTTTTTCCTATATTCCTTTTTCTTTTCTTTTCTTTTTTTTTTAACTTTGCCCCTTTATGGTCTTATAATCGCTGTATCTCCTTCCTTCTCTCTTTTCCTTTAATTTCTTCCTCTTTCTCTTTCTCGCTCTCTGTGTGTCTATCTCCATGTCTCTTTCTCTTTCTCTTTCTCTTTCTCTCACGATTTCTTTCTTTCTTTTTACGCTTTACTTCTCCTTTATTGCGTCTTAATTTCATTATCCAGCATCAACATTAAAGATACAAATTATAATCAAGACCTAAATATCGACCTTTTCTGCAACATGCAACATATGACAGAAAATAAATTATAACTCGAGTTCAAATCTATTAATGTGTAACAAATGTTTTAAATCACTAACCAAACACTGCATCTCTATCATTTTGCTTTTTAAATTATCCATAGATATATTAAACCATATTACCCGATTTCAACGGTGTTCATGACAAAGATCGACGCCATGATAGCTTCAACTTTGATCTCATCATCGTCCACGGAGTTATCAGTCCTTCTACCTTTTGTTGTTCTACAACTCTAAGATGATCGGCTTTACGGCCACATCACTTTGAAACACCGGTTCACATACGATCACCGAAGTTAAGCAACGTTGGACATGGTCAGTACCTAGATGAGTAACCACTTGGGCATATCAGGGGCTGTAAGTTTGAATGTGTGGGTGGTGTAATGGATTAGGGCACGGAATTGGAATTCCAGTTCCGATCGCGTCTGTTATATTAACTTGCGTGATTATTTTCTCCGAAACATGTTTACAAATTAAAAATATTTTCTGGCTTTAAATAACCTGCAAAAGGCTTGATAAGCCGTAAAACTTACATTTTTTCATTGCCTCTGTTTAAATTGTTGTCTCTTTTCTTCGTTTCTTCATTTTTCGTTTCTTTATTCTTCTCTTTTCTTCAGTTTTTTCTCTCTATCTGTGTCTTTCTCTCTCTCTCTGTCGCTCTCTATGTCTGTGTGTTTCTTTTCGCTCTCTCCCGGTCTGTCTGTCTGTCTGTCTGTCTGTCTCTCTCTCTCTCTCTCTCTCTCTCTCTCTCTCTCTCTTTCTATGAGCCAATTTTATCATCAATATTTTACAATGCCTCTCTCGATCTTTCTATCTTTCTCTCTCCTTTGATGATGTTGATGATGATGATGATGATGATGATCAACTCAAAAAGAAAAATCGTTTCGAATTCTAAAATACAGTTTCAAAAGAGCGCCTGAAAAATGACTAAAGGAGACTCTGTTACATTAACTGTTATGCTATGTATGTTAAAATTATTGAATTTTCCCGGCCTCTCTGTCTGTCTCTCTGTGTCTCACGTCAATATTTTCAAAATTATTCGATTTCCCACCCGTCCTCGTACAGCTAGTTTAGTTTTACTTGCTGAATTAGGCAGCTGAGCCAGATATTTTGAAGAAGAAAATATTTCACAAAAAAAAAAATGCACAAGAATCAATCAAAATTGGCTCAAAGCAAACACATGTCAAATATACAATATATATATATATATATATATATATATGGACGCACAAATCTATAGGCACATAATAAATGCGCTCAAATGTATATGTACGTAAATATATCCACACATTTAAGAAACATACACACACACAGTGATTTTCCAAGCGTAGCTTAGATGTGGCACAAGGACGAAAGTAGGGGCACCTAGTGATATATATATGCTTATATACGCAAAGATAGGTATGCAAACATATAACTAATCATACATAAATATATGCATATAGTTGCATATATTCTGTGGATTTAGGTAGGAATATTCTTTTAGGCAAATATTAAAAATGACACATTTTTCGGTTAATTTTAATCGACTTTTCCAAATTACAAGTAATCCCTCACAGATGAGGAGGAAAATCCGACAGAAATTGTCCAAAGTTGATTTCAGTAGAAATATAGTCTTAGCTTTGCTCTTTCTTATGTCTTTATGTCTTCATCAGGGTAGGAAGAGACAATTGGTAAGTTTCGTTGTGACGTCAGCGAGGTGTGACATGTGTTTCTGTTGTCTTTGTTTTATATACATTTGACAATGCGATTTTATAAGGTTTATAAGTATAACTGTTTTTATTTATTGTTTCTTATAC